AGCAACCTGAAATTTGGTTCGTCGACTCGGAACCCATCGGACCCGCAAGAACCATCCAGGGCAGGTTTTTCGGGGCTGAAGGTCCTGGTCAGTCATGATCATCAAGGAGCCATAGCGCAAGCCTTTGGTGTCTTGGTACTTCTTAGAGGCATCCAGGGCCATGATCTTCATGAGGGATTCGATCTCCTTGTTGTCCATCATCTGCTTTACCTGGCTCGGATTTGGCACCTTCGATTTCAGCGCGTGCAAGGTACTGTTCACTGGGCATGTCCTATGAGCCTTTGCCTTCGTGAAATTACATGTGGCTGCGGACCAGGCAAACGTGGCGCTGCCTAAAACGTGAACGCCAGAGGTTGAACAAATGCCGCACATAAGCGGTCACCTGCTGGCCGACGTCCTCAAAACTCAACTCAGGGCTTTCCAGGCGTTGACAGTTCTGGCTCGGTTCGCTGTGGTCCTGTCGCGGACTTCATTACTTGAAGAGTTGCCCCTGCGACAGGTCGCAGCAAACCTCCAGGGACATGGCAAACTGGGCTGTGGAGAGAAACCAGTCGTGCACAAATCCAGCCGGGCTGCGGAAAGCTCACGCACATTCCGCAGCTTGCCTGGGACCAAAGGCTTTGGGAAGAGAGCCGGTAAAAAAGACGTGGGAAGGTGCTGGAAACAGATTCAGAAATGAGGCGGGGACATCGGGGTTGATGAGCATGGGCATGTCTGGCGCGTTTTGGGGCGGGGGGCGGGGGAGCTTGGTTGGTGTCGACGCTTCTTGGCTGCCCAATAGCGGCCTCCACTGAGACATACCATGGAAAGCATTGGGCGGCCAAGTCGGTGCAAACAAAGGGCTTCATTGTTTTTGAGAACCGTGAGTGCGTCCAGAGACAATGGGAAAGGCCAGAAGGGCTCAGAAGTCACTAGTCAAGAAAGACTCGTTTTGACGGTGTAACCTCGCACGCCCATTGACAGAAATAAGAGCTGCTTGCTGCCCTTCAACTATTAGGCTCTCGCCTGGAACTTGACAAACCATGCTTCTAGTGTCAAGGTGCTCTTGACAACCGGGCCCCATACTCCGAGCGCACCAACCCACTTGGACGTTCAAGCCACTTGACACGGTTCTAACTTCATGGTGGTGACTGGGGTGTCCCTCAACCTAAGCAGCTACATCCACGCACTCCTTCCGTCCGAGTGGCCGCGCAAGGGGAAGACCCCGTAGTGATCCCGGCCCACCACGCTGAGCCCTGCCACCGCCAAGGCTTTGGCGGAGTCGCCCTCCGTGATGATCAGCGTGCAATCCTGGCTCCAAGCCGCCAGGGCTTGCAACCCACTTCTGTGATATAACTTTAACGGAAAGGGCTTCCCAACCGAATTCTTCTACAGGGGGAGGTCTCAGAAGTGGGGATAAACCGCTTGATCCCACAACCCTGCCTTTCTTCATCTTGCCCTGATTTGGTGGCTTGCTGACTGGTGGAATGGACGTTGGCCCGGTGCTTTCCCCCAAATGGGAAGAAGCAGGGGCCACGCCGCCACTCCAAATGCCGGGCCCTCAAAAAAGTGATCAAAACGCACTCCAAACCCAACCGCAAACCACACCCAAACCCAATCCGAAAGCCAACCAACCCGATTTTTAACAAGTTTTTCCCAAACAGCTGCTTTATCATCATCATCATCATCATCATCATCATCATCTCTTTGCCGCTGCGCATCAGCGCCACCGCTGTCGCAACCGTTGCGGCGTCGCCACCGTTGACCTCAACACCGTGAGCAACCTCACCGTGGCTTAGTCGCTCGCCACCGCTCCGTGAGCAATTTCACCATGCCTTAATTGTCCGTCGCATCATGAGGAGCTTGTGCGAGGCAGACGGCGCTGGGGTTGCAACGGGCGGCGAAAGGCTGGAGCTGCGTGGTGCCAGGGCAAGGGGGCACGAACTGGCGAATGCGGCACAGTCGCCGGGTGTGGGAGCATCTGAGCAGAAGGTCGCAGCGAAGGCCATGGTCAAACACAGCGGTGGCCGCGGCGGGCAAAGCAGGGCCATTCAGGGCCAGACGGCAACTCATCAGCAAGAAAAGGCAGCGTGGCTCTTCGAGGGCTCGTCGCCGCCGACAAAGGGTCGAGATTTAATTTGGGATTTTTTTTTGTTTTCCGTCCTGGCTACTAAAATGCTGTAATTTACAGCATTTTCTCGCGAAATGTACGTATTTTACGCTAGTCCGTCAACATCATCAGCATCGTTTTCAACATCCCCCGCATGTCCAGCCAACATCGCCAGCATCACCAGCAAATTGGGGTTGGGGGGGGCGGCAGCCCCCCCATGATGCCCCCCCCCATGACGATTGAAAAAGTAATGATTCAACTGGAGGCGCGGGGGTGTTGGGGCGGGCGGCAGCCCCCCCATGATGATCGAAAAAGTGATGATTCAATCAGGGGCAAAGAGTCCAAAAATAGCGGGGGGGTTGGGGGGGGCGGCAGCCCCCCCATGATGATCGAACAATTAGGGGCAAAGAATCTAAAAAGTAGCGGTCGCATGATGATCGAAAAAGTGATGATTCAAATACGGGGCAAAAAGTCCAAACTACGGCAAGGCCTCATGGTACGGGATTCAAATACGGGCAAACTAATCCCTGTAGATCGAAAAAGTGATGATTCAATAGGGGCAAAAAGTCTAAAAAATAGCGGGGGGGTTGGGGGGGGGCGGCAGCCCCCCCCATGATGATCAAAAAATTAAGGGCAAAGAATCTAAAAAGGAGCGGTCGCATGATAATCGAAAAAGTGATGATTCAATTAGGGGCAAAAAGTCCAACAAATAGCGGGGGGGTTGGGGGCCGCCCCCATGATGATTGAAGAAGTGATGATTCAAAAAGGGCCAACAAATACATCTATAAAAAGAAGAAAAATAAACAATAAACGCCGGGGGTCATCAGTTCCTCTGCGGCAAGGCCTCATGGTACAAGTGAGGATTCAAACACGGGCGAACTAATCCCTGTAAAACACCTAAAACGTAGCGGGGGGGGGGGGGGCGTGGGGCGGCAATTTTCCCTCCCATGATGATTGAAAAAGTTGATCGAATGATGATTCAATTTAAGGCGCGGGGGGGGGTTGGGGGGGGGCGGCTGCCCCCCCATGATGAACGAAAAAGTGATGATTCAATCAGGGGCAAAAAGTCTAAAAAATAGCGGGGGGGTTGGGGGGGGGCGGCAGCCCCCCCCATGATGATCGAAAAATTAGGGGCAAAGAATCTAAAAAGTAGCGGTCGCATGATGATCGAAAAAAGGGATGATTCAATTAGGGGCAAAAAGTCCAACAGATAGCAGGGGGGTTGGGGGGGGCGGCAGCCCCCCCCCATGATGATCAAAAAAGTGATGATTCAATCAGGGGCAAAAAGTCTAAAAATTGCGGGGGGGTTAGGGGGGGCGGCAGCCCCCCCCCCATGATGATTGAAAAAGTGATGATTCAATTAGGGCCAAACAAAAAGAAAAAAAAACAGCAGGGGGGTCATCAGTTCCTCTGCGGCAAGGCCTCATGGTACAAGTGAGGATTCAAATACGGGCAAACTAATCCCTGTAAAACGGCAGCCACCCCCCCCCATGATGATCGAAAAAATCGGGGCAAAGAATCTAAAAAGTAGCTGTCGCATGATGATCGAAAAAGTGATGATTCAATTAGGCGTGCATTTTAATCGAAAGGGGGGTGGCGGGGGGCCCAGAGAGGAACTTGCGATGCTGATGATGCAGGAAGCCACAGGATGCGAAAAGCCAAAAAGTCCCCCCCCCCCCCCCCCCCCCCCCCCAAAAAGCCAAAAAGCCAAAAAGCCAAAAAGCCAAAAAGCCAAAAAGCCAAAACGCCAAAAAGCCAAAAAGCCACCTGCCGCAGCGGAACTGGCAATGCAGAGGATGCGAAAAGAGAGGAACTGTGAATGCAGATGATGCGAAATGAAAAGCCACGAAAGCCACAAAAACCCACGTAAAAGCCACAAAAGCCAAAAAGCCGAAAAGCCGCCGACCCTGAAAAACAAAAATAATTCCTAAAAAAAAACGAAAAAAATTCCTAAAAAAAATGGCCCTCCGCCGACAAACCAGGTGTGGAGTGGGAGGCCAAGCGCTGATCCCATTGGTCATGCAAGGCCCGTCGTCGTGGTTGCCAGCGACGCGAACGGCAGCGCACGGCGCTGCTGAGGGTTCAGCTGACGGACTGTGTGGGTGGAAGGAGGTCCACTCGGAGGTGGCGCCATTGACCAGGTTAACGCCGGTCTTCAAGGCGCGGTCAGGTCCTCTTGCCAACTGTTGGCGGCGGTAGTCAAGTTCCGGCGGAGGACCAGGACGTAGCTGGTATCCTATTGGCAGCCCCGCTTGCTTTGCGCGCACCCTCAGGAACCACGTTCGGCGCGCCAACAGCGCGCCCCGCTTCTGAAGGCGTTCGTTGCAAGCTTGTCCTCGTCCGGCTTAAGAGCCCCAGCTCGCCTTGGCTAAGATGCTCTTGCTGTCGCGGCGAAGTTCTCGAGAGTGGCCTCATCGAGTTGGAGCGTGGTGGTGGGTTGGGCCCTCTGAGCTGGGAGGAGGTTGGCCCACCACGTCGCTCGTTTTGGGCCACGGCGGGTCGGGTCACATGCGCCACGTGGTCTGTTTCGGGAAGCGGGGTGAGAGGCCGATGCTGCTGCGCATGTGAACCAGAGAGTTGCTGAAGGCGCTTGCTCCTCCAGCACTTGCCTCCGCACCTGCCGCGCACAGGCGCTCTGTTTACACACGGGGGGCTTCCCACCCTTTAGGTTCAGGCGTATCATGTGCCTTTTTGCATTTCTTGGTGGGGAACTGGCTCTTTTTCTCTGCTTATGCCTGGCTAAGGTCTTCCGCAATTGTGGGATGAAAAAGAAGTGTCCTCTCTCAACTGCCGGGACCTGGCCGCATGCCATCTGCATCTTGAACATACCTCAGAGGCCCCCTGAAGGCTCTTGATTTGGCGCTTCTCCTCAAGGGTGAGATCCTTCCATGTGACCCTTAAGGAATTGTCTGAATTGTGCTGGAAGGCTAAATTCACTCTCAAAGCCTCTCAAGGGCTCAAACAAGCCACTCTGCCACAAGGGTTGCAGCCTGAGGCATCCTGAGACTTATACTGAAGGTTGTCATACCACAACTAAGCTGGGTCCACAACCAGCAGAGTCCAATGGCTTGGATTCTGACTGAAGATTTGCACACTTCTGAAGCAAGCAAAAGCTGCAAACCTGAAGTGCAATGTTGCGGGTCAGAGCTGAATCCACAATTCCAAACTGTATGGCTGCACCTGAAGGTTCAACCTCACCCAAGCCATCCAGAGGAAGATACAGCTGCTGAAGCATGAGCCGCAGCTCCTATCTACTGAGCTGCCTGAAGGCAGGCCACTGAAAGGTCTTGACCTTCTGAGGCACCTTAAGCTCCATCTCTCCGGTGCCCGAAGTTGTCTTGCCCAAAGGCTAACTTGCCTGCTGCCTCTGAAGTGACTATCACCTCCTTGTTAAGGAAGCCATGAGCTGAGCCCACCTGCTCCTCAGCTGGCTGCTCAAGTGGAAGTGATGCCGGGAAGCGGCAGTCTTTTTGTCAGCATTCGTCAAACAAGCCCCGATGGTACCAAAGGCAAGGCCGCCTACTGGCTCAGCTGTAAACCGATAAGGGCAAAAATCCTGGATTCGCAATGAGGGCGATTCCAGAGTTTATGCTCTTCGAGACGCCTGGGTATGAGTGCGCTTGCTGCTAGGCCCGCGCTAAATTGCAGCGCCGCTGCGCCAAACTCTTGAGTGTCTCGCTTCCGACGTGTGAGCCGAAGGGGTTCCACTGCTAGTCTCGCTAAGGCTTGCCCGTCTGGAACACACTGACTTAGTCTTAGTTAGAACCTCACACAGCCCGCCTCCCCTTCCACCCGCACATACTGCAGCGAAGGGTTGAAGGTGGCATTGCGCCGTTCAGAGGTTGAGGCAATTGCAAGAAAAAGCAAGCACCTTGAACAACAAGCCGGCCAAAGCAAGGGCAACCCAAAGGCAGCAGGTGAAGCCGTGTCAGGGCACGGTCACGCGCCAACACTAGCAGCCCAAGCCAACTGTGGAAGGGCATGAGCAGAGGATGCCAACAAAGGTGTCCCGCCCCACATCCATTCAGCGTTAACAACCGGTTTTCGCAAAAAACTAGCTCCAATATCTGGCGCGACTGGCTGAGATGCCAACACCAGCATCACCAGCATTGCCAGACGCAGTCTCGTTGCAATGATGGCCATCACCTCTATCTACAGGCTGCATCATCAGCATGACCAGCAGTGCCAGCAATGAACGCAATTTTGCAGCTGAAATGAGCGCTGGCAAATCAGCTACTTTGCCGCGCGGGTGGGAAAAAGAGGTACGGGAAAAGTCGACTATTTCCATACCTCACCTTTGCCCGCGTTAACACTGGATATTGCGGAAAACTAGCTCCAATAGGTAGCGCGTCTAGCTGAGATGCCAACCCCAGCATCGCAGCATTGCCAGCAAACGCGCGACGGCCATGACCTGGACCTAACGATGGCGCCAATAAACGCAAGTAAGCTAGCTGACATGAGCGCCGGCAAACTAGCTGCTTTGTCACACGGGTGGTAGCGTTTGCCGGCCAAAAGAAAACTGAACAACTGGCTATCACGGAAAACTAGCTCCAGCATTAGCGTGTCTAGCTGAGACACTAACACCAGCATGGCCAGCATCACCAGCATCGCCAGCAAGCTAATGCGTCGAAAGAATGGCCATGACCTCGGATCTAACGATTGCATCACCACCATTGCCAGCAATAAACACTACTGTGCTAGCTGAAATGAGCGCTGCGTCACACGGGTGGTAAAAATCGAGGTACGGGAAAAGTCGACTATAGGTCACCTTTCCAAACCTGAACAAGGGGCTTCCCAAACAAAGGACGAAAAAACACACCTGTTCTTTTTGTCCATGTTGCACAGGAGCTCGTATCTGATATCTCCGGTAGCAAGGGAAGTAAATCACTTTCCAAGCTTCACAAAGCACTAAAACAAAGCAATTTCATCCACCGACTCAAAAGTGCACACAATTTCGAGAAGCAAAGGATCGGAGCTAGCACGGCGTCGCGTCTCGCGTAGAATTGCGTGCGTAAGAACAGCGAAACCTAGCGTTGCCATTCACTCCAGCATCACCACTAGCATCACAGCCGCCACAAATAATGTTGAAAAAATAAGCCGCGATTTACCATGCTAAAAAAAATCACGCACAAAAAAAAAAAAACGTCAGGTGCCATGTCCTGTCTCTCTCCAGCAAGTTCTTCCTCTTCCTCTTGGGAACAATGAGGGGAAGGTGGTCCCCCACATCGCGGGACCAAGCCCATGATCCGGGCTCGGGGTCTCGGGCCGGGGGGGGGGGGGTCCTGGGGGACCCATACCATATTGGGGGGGGAGGGGGTAGCAACACGGAACACGGGACCACATATATGTGTGTGATTTCCAGTTTTATGGGAGTCACCCTCGCCCTACTGTCCCCAGCATTCCTAAACATGCTGTGGGATTCTGATCGTTTTCCCCACAAACTCAGCCAGCTTTTCCCTTCTGCAAACAGAAAGTAGGAAGAGAAAAAACGCGGGTTTGCCCAAGCCCACCCAAACCCACCTGCAACCCACCCCCCCAAACCCACCCCCAAACCCACCTGCAACCCACCCCCCCAAACCCAGAAACGAAACCGACGAGGCCCACGAAACCCGAGCATCCTGCGCCCGTCATCGCCCGTCCTGGGAGTTCTTGGTGCCCGCCTGGTTGGCGTCCTCCAGCTTCGGCACGCCGAACAGCCGCTTCTGCGAGCCCATCTCGCTCTTGTTCCTAGGAAAAGCGCTCCAGAGGCCCAACTGGGAGGAGGATACTGTGCGAAAAACCGATAGATAGACAGACACACAGACAGACAGATAGATAGAGAGGCTACAATAGACATGGACAAACTAGTTAAAGATATAATGTTGAGTCATTTACCGTATACAATATCGTCTTTCAAACATCTTCTCCCGCAACAAAATTCCCTTCGTTAGTCGGAGGCTCCATTTCGCGCAGCTCCCCAAAAAAGAAGAAGAAACAAACAGCATCTTGGACAAACCAGGCAGGCATGGGTATGTCTACAAAAACGCCCTCAACGAAAAGGGGCACCAACCTGGAGGGGATTACCCTGAATTAGCACTTGGGCGACGGACGCTCAACCCGTAGCCTAGGACATAAACATTTTTTGCGTCGACACACTGGTGGGTTCCAATCTAGCTGTAGCTTATCAAACGTTGGCCTGAATGCCAGCGGGTTTTCTCGATTCCCACTTAACTGAGGTCTCCTCCAAAACCATGTCAATGTGCAAATCAGGACAGATGGCATTACCTCTTTGTGTCCGCCCCGTCAACGAATAAGGTTTTTGGATTGGTGTGCTCCTTCCCCCCCGCGAGCTCCTTCCCCCCCCACCCCCCCCCGAGACGCTCAGACGCTCTGCTGAGTGGCAGATGCCGTGCCAGCTCGCTTTGGCCCATGGCCTTGGACCACTCCTCAAGTTCGCTCAGACGTGATTTAAACAAAACCCGAGGCCCGAGGCGCAAAACCCTCGACGGAAATACACAAAGTTGCCCCAAGAAGCGCTGGACCACTGGTGGCAATGCCATGCGATTTTTGTTTTAGGGGCAATAGAGCAATGTTTGGGGAGTTCAACCAGCACAACCGAAACAACAGCCCAAGCAGGCTCGGGGCCTCAATGCAGGAAGGTGGTTCCAAGAAAGCAAAAAGAGCACCGTACCCGAAGTCTTGACTCAGCTGTTTCTACCTTCCCATCGGTGGCATGTTTCGTACAAACTGTTACAAGCCCAAGGCTCCTCAGGATTGGAACGTGTGCACAAACGGTTCAGAAAGCAGCTCGCGTCATCTTGCGCTACCTTCCACTTTTGATCCAGATTTTACTCGAGGCAGAGGACATGACCTTTGATGAATTGAAGGAGGTATCATTGAAGCTAGAGATTCTGCGGGCATTCTTTCCCTAGCAAACTCTAACTAAATTTGAACTAAAAGAGTTCAACAAATTGGGATGGATTTCCTGGTTGTCGTTGATTTCTCACGGTATTTGTTGGTTTTGCCTCAAACCACGCAAAACGCAGGTCGTTGCAAAAGCCCGCCGCTCACAGGAACCTTCTGCTCGCCTACTTTCAACCGACTGGCCTTCACTGAGCGCCACGGAAGTGTCCAAGCGATGGACCCCCTTGCTGTTGCAACATTTATCATCGGGACTCTGGGTACGCGTCCTCTGGATCTTGCGGGCTCCCCCCCCCAAAAAAAATGTGGGGATAATAGGATCTGCCCGACCCATACCTGCCACCTTCACAGAACCAAAAAAAATGTGGGGATCAGACCCTCGAGATTTCCTGCCGCCATTCCCCGCGCTCCTGTAGTGACTCCACGAGGCCGCTGCCCAGCACCGCCTGCAGAAGCTCCTAAGGCCGGGAGGCTGAACCCCGGTTGCGGGTGGGGTGGGGGGCTGAGATTGGCAAACAAGCTACCGATGTGAATGAACCAATCCCAAATAAGCCCTCAAGCTCAACAAGCGAGTCGAACACATCATGAGTCACCATCGAGCAAACTGAAAATGAAGCGCAAACAAATGCAGGAGTCAGCAAAGATGTGAGGTTGGTAACGCCGCCGGGCTGGGTCCTGGGATATGCCCCATTCTCATCCCATAACCAACCGCCCTCGGAATGGGCTTTCCATTCGCATGGGGTTTCTTCATTCTTCTCGGGCGATTTGCCCCTGGGTCGTGCAATCATCTCTTCCCATGGCGCTCTTCGCTTCCCTCCGTGGGCTTGGGGGACATGGATGCGCCGGCGCGCGCGAGCGCCATGGATCCTCTGAGAGCTCGCAGGTGGAGCCGAAGCGCTCCTTCTTGGTGGTGAGCGTCTCCTGGACTCCCATGGCGCCCTTTCGGTTTTCGGGGGCCCTTTGACGTGGACGCCATTTGACCCAGAAATCTGGGGCCACCAATTGTTTGAC